AATGTTCTAAAAATAAGACGTAGTAGTAAGATTGATTGATAATATTGTCTTGTATTATTTTTTCGCCTCATTTACTATTCCTGAAATTTATAAGCTAATGAATGGTGTTGAATTCGCACCTTTCAAGTGTTGAGATATAACTTACCTTGCCCACGTCTGAACCACATCCGAAATCGATAAGTATAAGTTTGCCATTTTTATCCACAAGGATATTTGTCAATCGAGTATCGCCATGTACTATCCCATTTTCATGACATTTCTTAATTATTTCAATAATATCCGCTAATAAGGATACAGGTTTATTACATTCCTTAAATGTTTCAACTGCTCGTGGTCTTAATAGCATCGCTGTATCAGATGAACCAACAAGTCTTATAATACCATCATTGACTCCTCGTCTCTGAAGTTTTGTTAATACATTTATTTCATTCATTAATATGTCAGGTCGTGACACAATTTTAACAACTGCGTCTTCATCATAACAAATCCCAAATACACTCGATAGAGATGTATGCGCAATCAAATCATTCATTTTGACATTTAGTCCTGAAAGTCAAAACTAAAATGAGTCATATTTGTAGAAACAAGATCATATAATATATGTAAATAAATACCTGTCATCGAGTGGTAGGACAATGTACTTAGTAGACCCCGTAAATAACTTGTATATGTTTGATTACTGAGGTTAAATTTATCAGAGTAGGTTACTCTGTACGGGCCTTTCTCACTATCGTCTTTAGTTACTTGAATAAACATTACGTGATAACAATCCGTCAAAAATCCCGTGATATTTTGACGACCTTTCTGATGTTTTAATGCGATTGTTGCATACATAATAACTTGTCCTTGGTTGGTTGGCGTGAAACATGAACCGTGGGGTTTAATTTCGCCTATAGATTCTATCGTGTGTGATGTTAATAAATAGTCATCAAGATGAGTGCATATGTCTGGGGCCTTTCCATCGAGAATTTTTTTTGAATGCGTGTCAACAGCTTTGACGTAATTATCCCCTTCTAGCTGTGACAAGATCTTTTCACAAAAATAACTTTGGTATACGTTTTCTTTATCTCCCGTTGGCGGTGTAGCGAAAGAAAGTGATTTTCTTGCAGGTTCAAACCATAAGGTTTGACAGTGTATTGGCTGATATATATACCATAGCGAGGAAAGGCTATGAGTCGTCGCATCTAAAATGGCTTCAAGACGAGTTCTTTTCATCTTTTCTTGTTCGTATAATAATTCAGCATTCAATGATCTTTTTTCTATTGAAGAAAATTATCTGTTAGTTAAGCGTCACGTTTCGAGTTGACCAATCATTACGACGCAAAGGCTTACCTTGATGTTCAGCTAAATTAGATTATCAAAAAAAGATTTTGTTTTAGCGTCACAAACAGTAATAACGGCAAATATTTTATAAAATTATTCGATAACACACCAGAAATATTATCAAGGAAACTTTTCAAAAGACTCAGTTTATCTTCAGGTTTTTCGTGACTCACAAGGGCCAAAAGAAGACTTTTTTCTTTTTCTGAATTATTAATAAGATGAATTTGTAATTTTTTAGTTTCTTCTTTATCGAGAAGGCTATTGATAATTTCGTAAATGTTTGACATATTGTTAAAGATATGGTTAGGAAAAAGTAAAATATAAAGAATGAAAACCAATTTTCGTAAAGACTTATTGACTATATATATGATTTCTAGTAAACTTTTATTAAACTTCATTAATCACGTGAACGCGTTATAAGTCCGAATAAGTCTATCTTATTAAACTTCATTGATTATTATTGAGAACGCGTTTTGTAAGTCCGAACTTTACATTATATCATTCTATCATCAATTGATAAAATATATTTATTTTTGATCTAACCCTATCTAATATCATGTCATCGTGAAATATTGTTATTCATATACAATAATTTTTTCTGATTCCACACAAACTTTATTATTCAGAAATGAAATATATGATGCTATCAAAGAGGGAGGGAATACGCGGATCATAGGCCATTTAATGCGAGTCCCAGCATCAAGTTATTTCTTTGCTCAGAATAATTTTTACAGATAATTTATTTCTACATCTATTACTAACTACAAGATTCTCACCCCCACACTCTTTTACTACATTAAATTTTCAAATAAATTTTCCCTCCCATATCTGCAGAATTTTCTTATCTATATCCGTATAGCCTATATAAAAGATTATTCCTCGCAAGAGAACATTCCCGAGATAAAGTAATTTCGGATCTACTGATAAATTCAGGATTAGTAAATGAGGCGAAAAAATAATACAAGACAATATTATCAATCAATCTTACTACTACGTCTTATTTTTAGAACATT